TAGTACAGACAGCTGTATACGCATATATCTTGTATATACTATGTTTTGCTGTTGCTAATGTTGCTGTTGCTGCTGCTGCTGCTGCTGTTGCTGCTGCTGCGTACCTTAGCTGTTGTCGCCAGTGGGGTCTCGATGCTTCTGCTGCTTCTGCTGCGCTTCTGCGGTGAGCAGCAGCAGCAGCAGCAGCAGCAGCAGATGTCAATGCAGGAGCAGCTAAATCCCTAAACTTCAAGAAGCGGCTGCGGGGCCCCCCACGGACAGCAGCAGCAGCAGCAGCAGCAAGTCGTTGTGCTGCAACAGTTGCTGGCAGCAGCAACAGATGATGGTGCTGCTGCTGCTGCTCTCTCTTCCTCTTGCTGCTGCTGCTGCTGCTGCTGCCTCCTTCCGATGTGTCGCTCGCGTCGCTGCCCTCTTCTTGCCTGCCAGGATCTACAGGTGTCGTAGCCTGCACCCAAGCAGCAGCAGCAGCAGCAGCAGCAGTAAGGAGCAGCAGCAGCAGCAGCAGTAAATAACAGCAGCAAGACCTGCTGAAACAGCACCCCTAATACTTCCTAGTAGTGAGTGGCAGCGCAACAGCAGCAACAACAGCAGCAGCAGCAAAAATACTAACTGCAGCAGCAGCAGCAACAACAGCAGCAGCAACAGCAGCACATACCAAGGTCTGCATGCGCCAGGCTTCTTTAAGGTGTGGTTCTAGTGGGGCCCCACAAGTGGCGAGGATCTGCTGCTGCTGGGGCTGCTGCTGCTGCTGCTGTTGCTGCTGCTGCTGCTTTTGCTGCTCTGCTATCTGTCCCTCGATGTCCCCGAAGGAAGTCGTGTGCTGCATGAGTTGGCTTGCTGCTGCTGCTGCAGCAGCAGCAGCAGCTGCTGCTGTTGATGCTGCTGGTGTCTGTATTATGCTGAATGAGGGCTGCGCATAGCTGCAGCGGGGAGGAAGGAAGGCGCCGCTAACTGCAGCAGCAGCAGCAGCAGCAGCAGCTTCTGCTTCCTCTTCTTGCTGCTGCTGCTGCTCTGCCCCAGCACCAGCAAGTGCTGCTGCTGCTGCTGCAGTTGCTGCTGCAGTAGGTTGATCATCTGCAGATCCATCACTGCTTGAATCATCTACATCCCCGTCTCCTGCTGCTGCTGCTGCTGCAGCAGCAGGCGAATCTGGTGGTGCTGCTGCTGCTCGTGGTGACGTCCTGCTGCTACTGCTGCTACTGCTGCTGCTGCTGCTGCTAGAGTCTGTCGGGGTTTGCTGCTCGCTTAGCAGCACAGGAGACTCTACGCCGTCAGCACCGTTAGCCTGTTGCTGCTGCTGCTGCTGCCGCTGCTGCTGCTGCTGCTGCTGCTGCCGCTGCTGCTTCTTCTGTGCCCTTGCCTTCCTCTCTGCCTCAAACAGAGTATACAGAGCATCAGCAGGAAGAGGGACTTGCTTCCTTTGCTGCAGCAGCAGCTGCTTACGATGAGGGCCCCGTGCTGCACCAGCAGCAGCAGCAGGAGCAGCAGCAGGGGCCTTGCATGCCGCCAACACCTCCGCAGCCGTCGTACCTACGCAGCAGCAGCAACCGCAGCAACATATTGCAGCAACAATAGCACCACCGCAGCATAAGCGTCCAGGAGCAGCAACAGCAACAGCAGCACCAACAGCAACAGCAGCAGCAACAGCAACAACACTGTCAGCAGTAGCCTTCGCATGCAGCATCATCATCATCAGAAGCAGCAGCAGCAGCAGCAGCAGCAGCAGCGGGAGATTTTGTGGGGTGTACCTGCAGGTGGTTCTTTAGGGAATAAGACACAGCAGCAATTAGCAGCAGCAGCAGCAGCAAATGTGTCTCTTCCTATCCCTGTATCTAAGGATAAAGGAGACACAAGAAGCAACTTTCCTCTTCCTTGCATGCTGCTGCATGCAATAAATTCCTCTAATTCCTCGCTGCTGCATATACACTGCAAGCTGCCTATTCGTTGCTGCCTCTGCTGCTGCAGTTTGCTGCGGATTCCACTAGCTGCAGCAGCAGCAGCAGCTGCTGCTGCTGCTGCTGTTGCTGTTGCGCCTGGGTAACGAGAGGAATTAGATCCTTGTGTTACTGCAGCAGCAATGTCTACTGCAGCAGCAGCAGCCTCTAGATCAGCAGCAGAAGTTGCTGCTGATGCTCCTGCTGCTCCTGTTGCTGCTGCTGCTGCTGCTGCACCTGCTATAAAATGTTGCCTCCTCTGTATAGCTAAACCCCAAGCAGCACGAGCTGTTGCTGCAGCAAGCAGCAATCTTGCTGCTGCTAAGAAAGATTTGCTGCCAGCAGACACAAACCCTAGCGGCTGCTGCTGCAGCTGGCTGCATGCAGCCCATAATGCCTCTAGATATGCCACCAATGTTAGGCATAAACCTGCACAAACCCTAAACCCTAAACCCTAAACCCTAAAAATCCCAAACCCTAAACCCTAAACCCTAAAAATCCCAAACCCCAAACCCTAAACCCTAAACCCTAAAAATCCCAAACCCCAAACCCTAAACCCTAAACCCTAAAAATTAATTCTAAACCCTAGGAAATAATTAGGAGTAGGTAAACCCTAGATAGTTCGATTAGATACTATAACATTAGCTACATTAACCCTGGATCCTAAACCCTAAACCCTAAACCCTAAACCCTAATTTAGGGTTTACACCTACCGTCTAAGTCGACAGGAATAATAACCGTGTTGCCCCTCAGCACTTCTGTTGCAGCACGGTGCAGCAGCAGGCGCAGCTGCTGCTGCGGCAGTCCATCTGCTGCTGCAGCAGGAGCTGAAGCAATAAGAGCATGGCAGCAGCGCAGCCTCTCCCCTAACCAAGGAGAAGGAGATGCTGCTGCTGTTAATGCTGTTGCTGCTGCTGCTGCTGCTGCTGCTTCAGGAGGAACAATCATTGGCTGCGCCCCGCAGCTAAGAGGCAGCAACTCGCCACCATCAACATGCCTGCAGCAGCAGCAACAGCAGCAGCAGCAACAGCAGCAGCAGCAAGAAGCACATTAGAAGCAGCAACGTGAACAGATAATAATAAATAATAATAAATAATAATAAAATAATAAAAAAATAAATAAAAATAAATAAAATAAATAAATACATGAATATTAGGGTTTAGGGTTTAGGGTTTAGGGTTTAGGGTTTAGGGTTTACCACATAGGTACAACAGAGTGTCCTATAGCAATAATAACATTAAGACGATCCGTCTTTAATAAGAAGACAGCCCCACCCGCATGCAAGCCAGCACGTATGCAACTTATATATACACCGCTTGCTTCCTGCTGCTGCTGCTGCTGCTGCTGTTGCTGTCTACAGCAGCAGCAGCTCTTCGCTGTATTAGATACGGTGCCAGCATCATCACCGGCTCCGTCAGTAGTGCTGCTGCTGCTGCTGCTGCTGCTGTCACTGCTGCTGGTATTGCTGCTACTGTTGTTGTTGTTGCTGCTGCTGCTGCTGCTGCTGTTGCTGCTGCAGCAGCAGCAAGGACGCCATCTTCTTTTTTGTATAGGGATTGTCTCATGATAGAAGATTGCATTGCATGCACTAAATGCAGCATCTACATCTGCTGCAGCAAAAGGGAGCCCGCTGCTCTGCTGCCCGTCTGCTGCTGCTGCTGCTGCTGTTGCTGCTGCTGCTGCTGCTGCTGATGGGGTTGTAGTGCCCCGTGCTGCTGCTGCTGCGGCAGCGGCGGCTGCAGCTGGAGACGCAGCAGCTGCAGCTGCAGCAGCAGCAGCAGCACCACGAGTTGAGCAGCAATGAGTTGCTGACAGCAATGCTGCTTCTGTTGCTGCTTTGCCTAAATGTTGCGCTGCATGCGTACAGTAGATAGGAGGGAATAGATCTTCTGCTGCTGCTGCTGCTTCTGCTGCTGCTGCTGCTGCTCCTTTAGGGCACCTCCATCTTAGCTTATGCAGCAGAGGCAAAGCCCCACAATAAGCAACAGTCCCATGGCTAAGGAAAACTGCTTCTATATCATCCAGGTGTCTGCAGCAGCAGCAGCAGCAGCAGCAACAGCAGCAGCAGCAACAGCAGCAGCACAAACAGCACAAACAGCAAAACAAGGTTTATATAATATACACAAGAATAATACCTTTTTATATTATGCAAGAAATAATGGTCTATATGCAGGAAATACAAATTAGGGTTTGAGAATAAGGGATATCTAGGGTTTAGGGTTTAGGGTTTAGGGTTTAGGGTTTAGGGTTTAGGGTTTAGGGTTTACGGTAATAATAAGGAGATACGATTAATATCTAATGTATCTGTTATGCCACAATTAAATAAAATTTTTATGCCATTAATTATTAATAAAGTGGCATAATAATCCCCAGCATATAAATTCTTAACCTCTAATTCATCCATTATAAACCCTAAACCCTAAACCCTAAACCCTAAACCATAAAAATCATTAAATCCGGTAAAAGGTAACCCTAGGGTTATATAAACCCTTAAAGGTCTTATCGAGACACTTTCTCCCGCTCATTCGATAGTCTAGGGTTTAGGGTTTAGATATTCTTCGTGGTCTTCTTCTAGGGTTTAGGGTTTAGGGTTTAGGGTTTTGTGTTTGGTATGGCGGACAGCGTGGGGACTCTGCCGCCGCCTCACGAAGAAAAACAACAACAGATGTAATAAAATAGAATATTCAAAGAATAAAAGGGAAAAAAAGGAAAAAAAGCATTAGTTTTCCTCTTTTTTTGCATGCATGCATGCATGCATGCATGCAGCGCCGTGTCGTGTGTGCATGCATGCATGCATGCATGCAATACACAGCTGGGTATACACCTGAATAAATATTTTCTTCTCCTTTTAAATGTTTAATTAATTAATTAATTAATTAAATATATTTAATTGTTATCTATTAATTATTTAATTATTATTTAATTAATTAATTAATTAGATGCATGCAACACTTTTTTCCTTCTTTTTTATATTAGGGTTTATAAGGAAACAGCTAAACCCTTCTTTTCTTTATTTATTAAATATATTATTTTATTTTTATTTATTTTTTATTTATTTTTATTTAT